ACAAAATTTTTTATAGTAAATCATGATAGAAAATCACGACTAACTCTATAAACAAACTCAACTTAATCACATACTGTGTGCTATCGTAATAGCAAGTAAGTTTTGTACGAAATTTCCCAGTAAATCGTGATAGAAGTCATGACTGTTAATTCCAACATAAACTAACACAAGTTTAACCACATACTGTGTATCACCGCAACAGTGAGTAAGTTTTGTAACAAATTTTTTTGCAGTAAATTATGATAGAAATCACGACTGATTCCATACATACTAATTCAACCTTAACTACATACCGCAATAGTCTGTAAGTTTCGTAACCAATTGTTTTACATCAAATCATGATAGACTGTTAATTCCAATACAAACTAACAAAACCCTTGTCACCACAATAGCACGTAAGTTTTGTACCAAAATTTTTTACTGTAAATCATGATAGAAATCACAACTAACTTAACCTTAACCACATACTATGTGTCGCTGCAATAGCGAGTAAGTTTTGTAACAATTTTTTACAGTAAATCATGGTAGAAATCACGAATGTTAATTCCAATACAAACTAACTCAACCTTAATTACGTACTGCAATAGCGAGTAAGTTTTGTAACAAAATTTTTTACAGTAAATCGTGATAGAAATCACGAATGTTAATTCCAGTACAAACTAACTCAACCTTAACTACGTACCGCAATAGCGAGTAAGTTTTGTAATTTTTTATAGTAAATCGTGATAAAAAATCACAGCTGTTAACTTTAATACAAACTAATTCAACCTTACTGTGTGTTATTGCAATAGTCAGTAAGTTTTGTAACAAACTTTCTCAAAATAGAAATTAGGACTATTAAACTAACCAACCTTAACCATATACTGTGTGTCACCGCAATAGCGAGTAAGTTTTGTATCAAAATTTTTTATAGTAAATTAGAAATACCGATAGTTCTAATGCAATAATTCATTATATGTTAACCCATGATAGACGGTATATATTAGTTATTTTTAGATCATAGCTCTTAATTTTTTATTATTATTATAATTATAATTATTATTTTTAATATTAAGATTTAAGAAAGAATTTCATAATTGGACAAGTGGCAATCACGACATTGATCAATTAATTCAACAAACACAACTTAATGCAGTGAAGTCTAGAAACATTATTGAATGGATACCTTTTAGTAAATTTGCGAATATAAAGTACCTTGCTAAAGGAGGCTTTGGCACTGTTTTTAAGGCAGTATGGATTGACGGGTATATTACAGAATTTGATTTGAAGAAGAGCGAATGGAAGAGAAGGCCGCAAATAGATGTTTGTTTAAAAAGTCTTGATAATTCTAAAGATATGAAACAAGAATTTTTAAATGAAGTAAGCATTATAATTTAACATTATCAAAGTGTAATAAACTTTATTTATCCTATATGATTAATATTTAGGTTGAAAATCAGCATAAACATGGAGGCATTGCGGCAATTGTGATTTATGGAATAACTAAAAGCCCAAAAGATGGCAATTATATGATGGTTATGGAGTATGCAAAGCAAGGAAGTCTCCGAAGATTATTAGATACTAGATATCATGAATTAGATTGGCTTTCTAAAATAACCATCTTATATTACATAGCTGATGGGCTTAGAACAATTCACGAAGCCAAATTAGTGCATAAAGATTTTCATCCTGGGAATATAGTTAATCGAAATATGTTTAGTCCTTACATTACTGATTTTGGCTTATGCAAGCCTGTGTCACAAGGCTCAAGCTCTGATGAAATTTATGGAGTACTTCCTTATATTGATCCAGTTGTACTAGCTAAAGGAGGAAAAGAATATACTGAAAAGTCAGATATTTATTCTTTTGGAATAATCATGTCAGAAGTTTTTACTGGATATCCTCCATTTCACGATATTCCACATAATATCAATCTATCTAGGAAAATCTGTAAAGGTCTCAGACCTAAAATTAGATGCGAAGTTCCTCAACTACTTTTGGATCTGATGAATAAATGCTTAGATGCAGAACCTCAAAACCGACCAGCTGCTAAAGAATTAGCAAGCATTTTTTCTGGCCTTTTTTCTGATTTGAAAGGATTTTGGAACTGCGAAATATATGAACAAGTTAAAAATATTAAAGACTCAGTCAAAAATTCCTCAACATATGGACAAGTTAAATCGGAACGACTCGACTATCAAAAAGATCCACAAGCTATTTATAAAAGTCAACTTCAAAAACTCCAAAACCAGGTAATATTTTTATTTCTAAAAAAAATAATTATAAAAAATAGTAGTATTTTAATAATTTTGAATTTGTGAATATAGTAAATTCAAGTAATGATAGTGAGTAAAATATTTAATTTACATATTGATATAATTAACTAAATTTATCACTTATTTTTATACTGATATTTAGATGAATGAATTAGTATCTTATGCAAAGTTTATATAAAAATACAGTTATACTGTATATTACATTTTCTATATAGCTATCATATTTTATTCATATATTTATTCTTTAAGTAGCAATGCTTTATATATTAAACTTGTTATTTATAAATAAATACTTGTCAATACAAAATATACATGTGTTAATTATATATAGTTAAAACTAAATCCAAATATCTTAGATTTAAGTTATTGTATTAGTTAGTTTTGACCCGGGTGAGAGACCCGTAAAAATTTGTATATAAATTAATGCAAATTAATACAAATTAATGCAAATTAAACCAAATTTCTAAGGATAAAATTCACGTGATATTCTATTAATTTGATCGGCAATAATGGGATCTCTTGCAGTATAGGTTATACCTTCATTTTTTCCGGTGAATGTGGCAAATAAAGGCATCGTGACTTAAGTCACGATGCCTTTATTCGCCACATTCACCGAAAAAAATGAAGGTATAACCTATACTGCAAGAGATCCCAATAATGTCGAATAGTGTGCTGAATTAAGTTTAAAAATTTCCGCAGGGTCATAACAAAATTTTGAGTAAATTTCTGATGTTTTCTGAAAGAAATAAAAAAATCGCAAATTAATATAAATTACAAATTTTTGCAATAACGCAAATATTTTGTATAACAAAAAATTTTACAGGTCTCTGATAATGAGATGTTTATACAGCCATACCTGAGTTATATCCCTTTTTTTATATAGTTTATATATTGAGTTATATTTCCACCTTAGTTATATCACCAAAAATACTCTGAAAAAAAGGTGATATAAAACAGGTATAACTGTATCACGTGATCCGTACTTTGAAGAGGTTAATTCTTCTAATAAATCATCAGTATATAAAATCTCTCCTCAAAAATATGTGAATAGTGTACACAGTGTGCTCTTAATTTGTATAAATAATTTTAAAATTAGAGCATTATAAATTTTTATAATACTATAAAATATATACATATAGATTTAAAATATGTATACGTACTATAATCTATTGTGAAATATACTGCCTGCAAAGTGTGCTTTTCTGTAAATTAATTATCTTGTAAATTACAAACTAAAATATTTATTAACAAATTGCTATATATATTATATATCTGCTAAAGATAGATAGTTTTAAACCTTTTATTCAGTTTTACAAACTGATTTAAAATTAAAAATTAGAGTTTCAAATTTGATAAATAAAAATAGAAAATTATTATTCATACCCTAAACTTAATCATCGCATCGTATGATGTCGGGGCTCACCGTTTTCGATTAGTAAGCATTATTACTAATCAAAAAAGCGGAGTTTAAATTTTGGACCACCGACATCATACGATGTGAGGATTAAGTTTAGGGTACAAAAATAACGGTATATGTATCAATCCCCTAAAAATAAATTATCAATAGCTTTGGTGCACTATGTGGCTAGAAAACTTGCGAATTACGTGCACATAGATTTTATACACTGTAGATCATATATATTACAGTATATTGTACTGTATTGTATAATATATACAGAGTATAATAGATGAGGTGCCATGAAATATGTTAAAAGCATACTAATTTCAAATACAATGATTCCGGCATTCACATAATAATTAATAAAGGAAATGAGGAAAGGACCTCGTATAAAAAAAAAAAAAAAAAAAAAAAAAAAAAAAAAACAATGATTCCGGCATTGTTGGCCGAATTGCCAATTAGGTTTCACTGGTTTAAAGCAGGAGATTCCAATCTTTATTATTTATTTTATAAAGAAAAAAACAAATAATTTTGGTCTAAAAACAAGCTTAAAGTAAATTGCATAATCTCAAGAACTTTATTGTTAACATTAATCAGGTCATTCGGATTATTTTTACTATACCACCCGGATGGGTTGCTTTATTTTTAACCCACTCGTCAGGTAATCCAGGTCCAATCACTAATTATTATATATTTTTATTGTACTTTGTCAAGTCAATAGCGCTGGCCCTAGTGGTGTGCTTATTTTTGCACATGTAATTTATACGTGTATACACTATATCGATGTCCGTCGAAAAATTTTCTTACGAAAAAGTGATTGGTGTTAATTGAGTTCGCAAAGTGATTTTTTTTTTAACACATGTAATATTTATTGGCTCAAGTTTTTGAATATATTTCTTGTATAAACAATCCAAGATTAATTTATTGGAAGAACTGAATTCCAAAGATTCTAGTTAAGAATACTAAACTTATAAAGTGCTAATATCAAGACAGAATACAAGATTAAAACAAATTTTAGAAGAACACGAAGCTAGATTCACGCGACTAGAGCGGAGATAAAGGAAAGACCTTATTGTCAAATTAGATGACGATATCAAGGAAATCAAATAATCTTTGGCTAACATTAATGCTTTTTGTGAAGCGAATTCTAACTATACTCTTAAGCAAATATATCTGATAATTCATCTATTCTAATATATGCCATGAATTTTCGTCTTTATGCTCTATATCATCTATTCATACATAGCCTAAATCACTTAAATAGTTAGAAAATAAAGAGGTCGATGAATTTCTAGATTTAAAAATAGGAAATGATTAGTAGTGAGATAAAACAGAGAAATAGAAACTTAAACGTGTGCCGGCTGAAATCCGATCCCAGGATTCAATGTAAACGGAAAAGAAAAAGCCAAGAAATTTTCCTTGCGAAACGTGTCAATATATCTCCAGAAGAAGAGTTTACATTTATATGTCTGAGGAGCCAGATGAAGGTGAGCCTGCTAAAAGTCAGTATATAGAGCAAAGAATTACCCAGTAGCAACCCATTGCATCATTAGTTTCATTAAGAAGGTGTATTATTCAGTTCATTTTGAGAATAACTTATTTTAAAGTTTCATCTCGATTTATAATAAATGATGATTACTTGCTATTCTCAAAATGTATGAAAAAAAAACATTTTTGTAATGATTTATAGTGATTAAAAGCTTATGAATTATCATGGTTATGAATCGATTTTGAAGAAAATTGGCCGACTAAGCCAAAATTAGCTTTAGCAGATTTTTTTTTTCGTTATTGGACAGGGTTACTATCTTCATCCTTTTTTTCCTCCGCATTCAAATCTAATTCCATCTCTTTAATTAACATATCTGCCATCTGAATAACCTGTTTATTATTCTCACCACTTTCTGAATTCAGATTTTCAACATCTTTGAGCAACATTCTCTCTTCTTTTCCTTTAGCTTCATCCAACATTTTCCGACCCACACCAAGTTCATCCCATTCCCAAAGTGTAACTCTCATTCCAACACCACCAGGACAATTCTGAGTTAAGTACCATAACCATCTTTCCACCACGGGCCTATTTGCATCTTTGATCACTAATAATCTTTTATGAGTTTTTCTTTCAAAATTCTCTTGAGATTTTTTGTGAACAAATGGACCACGAATAACAGTCCACCGAGAGGTTTTTGTCGGAAGATAAACGGTACCAGAGCAAGGCATATCTAAAGCATAAGCAGCACGTCTTGCAAAGTCAATATAAAAGTCCATTGGGCCAGGAATGTATGAGCGAAAATGGAGATGACAGACTACTTTGTTGTAAGTTGGAGCGATTCTTGCTGGTTCTGATTTGCAAAAAAATTTAATGATTTTGTTGTATAAAGACGAGAATGAATGAATTGGTCATTTTTTACGATACCAAGAAATACAGATGGTAGACGAAGTAATTTGTCCATAATGTTAAATCGAAACTAAAGAAAAAAAGATAAGCATATATTTTTAATGATTTTCTTATCGGAAATTTTTCATGCATCAGTTTGTGTAACTTTACATCGATTTGACAGCCAATAAAACTGTGTATAGCATATAAAGTCTGGCATAAAAATAATATATATGTAACAATGTGACATAAGTATTTTATACAAACATCGGCATTTATCATTATCTTATTATGTACGTGAACTTTTAATCTATTTATCTACAGGATTACAGTATATATCATTTCGTAATTGAGAGAATTGATCATAAAAAAATATATATATATGCGATGCGTACCTATAGAGCAATGAAGCATCTTCATATATCCCACGGCCCCTAATGTTCTCCCGTGAACATTTCTGATGATATTTTTATGATTACGTAATGCCGTGAAAATTTTCCACAGCCATGACGTAATCAGTAAAATAGGTATAGGAACCGTAGAATATAAAAGATATTTCACGGTGTAATGAACACAATGTGTTAATCCATCATATTCACAACAGCCCGTGAAATATCTATTACATATTATCCGGAGCAAAAGTTGCATTTTTTGATGCTCTCATATTGTGATATTACGTATGTATACCCTCCTAAAACCGATCTTGTCAAAACTGATATGCAATAACTGATCAAGGATTGATCCAAACGACACTTGCATTTCTGATACCGAATACTAAAAAGATAGGCTTATTGCTTTGCAAAACACGATATTTTTGATTTGGTTAACACAAGTAGGCTGTATTATCAGTATTACGTAATAATAGTTTTGCTTCGAACTTCAAAGTTTTATAACGGGTTCCCGTTTTCTAGTATACAACAAAAAAAAAATTTTTTTTTTTAAATAATTTACGTACGTTATTAAATGTAGTGCTTGCAATCGACCATTATTTATCAACTTGATTCTAAGTCGACATTTAAAAATCGCTAAGTCAGTCGATTATTCTAAATTCTATTTTGATTAAACTTCGGAAGTTATCGGAGATTTCCTCACAATCTTGCTCGTATTTTATGTTCGTTGATTTTCTTTTCGAAAATTTTCGGATTCTACATATGGGCTGGCTGCCGTCAATAGAAATCAGGTAGATCGACATTTTAAAAAAAACCCATACCTCAACTTTCACAGCTCATATATCG